AGGCTGAGGCAGGAGAATGGCTTGAACCCAGGAAGCAGAGGTTGCAGTGAGCCAAGATCATGCCACTGCACTCCAGCCTGGGTGACAGAGTGAGACTCTGTCTCAAAAAATTAAAAAAAAAAATTAAGACGATTCATTCTCTTATTATGCTCATTTTACAGATGAGAAGACAGGGGCTCAAAGAAGTTAAGAATTTGCCTAACATCACACAGCTAGAAAATGGCAGAGGCAGGACTCAACTGTAGGTATCTGGCTCCAGTCATGCTCTTAATGACTGCCCTAGGCTGCCTCTTGACCTGAGGGATGTTTACTGAAAGGTTACCTGATGTGAAAACAAAAAGAAATGTTTATTTATTACACATTTTCATTCTATTTCAAGGAATCCCTTTCAAAGTCTTTGGTAGACAACATTATTTGCTAAATGAAACCCACTACTATCTGTACCAGACTTGATGGTTTGCAGAGCAGTTTCAAGTATAGTTTCTCATCTCAGCCCTGCAACAATCTGGTAAGGTAAGCATTGCTGTCTTACTTCCTCTTATAGAGGAACAGAGGAGAAATCTGAGGCTCTGAGTGGTTAAGAGAACAGGGTCAAGGTCACCCAGACAGCAAGGAGCAGAGCAACCACTCAAATAAACGTCTATCAGTTTAAAAAATAAAGATCTGAGTGCCTCCAAACATAAAGTTCTTTCATGCAACTTTAAATTAAATAAGTTAATAGAAAACAGCTTAGCTAGTTCCTGGCACCTAGTAGGTCTCTTATAAATGTTAACTATCATTATCTTCATCAACACCTCCTGGGAAGTGGAATAGTGTGGCTAATGACCGCAACCTGTCTGTTGACCCTGATGGAAAGATTATTCTTTTTATTCTAGTTCATCCCTGGTAATGTTGAAATAATGATCAATCTCCATTATCCCTGGAGTACCAGAGAATGTTAAGAGCTGGAAGGGCTTGTGGAGATGATCTCATCAGGTCCTGCATTTACAGATGGAGAAACTGAATCCCAGAGAGGGGTCAGAAAACAAACCCGTCGTGAAACAAGCCAAGGGCAAGGCTTAGGCACCGACCATGCCTGGCACATACTGCCTCCTGCAAAGCTGGGTTTTTACCTAAAAAGGCATCTTGCATCCTAGAGGCTACAGAAAACAATTCATTCGTCTGTCTGTGAGCACCACCCCAGCCCTGTGCAAAAAGCCGTACAGTATTATATAAGCTATTAACCAGAAAACAGATCATGTGACTTAATTCCACTTCTGCTAAAGGGCTTAAAATGCTTCGGTGAGTAGTCTGAGATTCATAAATATATACTTCAACTCTTTCTCAAAGAATGATTAACCAGCTCCATCAGAATTGGAACATGGGCAATCAAGGAGAAAAAGAGCTGGCAAGAGAAATTTCTTGAAAATTTTTTACCAGCATTACAGATGACTTCTTGCCCCCTCTTTTTTTTTTTCTAAGAGTTGGAGGAAGAAGGAAAGGAAGAAGAATCATTATACAATAATGAATTAAGAAAACTAATTATGGAAAATTACAAACGCCACCTTACAAGGTGGATTTCAAACAAACACGATGGGGTGTTTGTAGAACTTCAAGACAGAAAGTATTGAAAAGGCACAGAAAGCAGGAGTGTAACCTTCACTAACTTCTTTCAGAGGGTGGAGAGGCTTGACAATATATGTGCATGATTATCTCTGGTAGCCCATTCTGGACTAAGGATTTTGTGAACCTATAAGTTAGAGTGTCCATAATGTCATATGTTCACCTTCCTTCTCCCTAACCCACCGAGTATTAATTCTCCCAGGCAGGGGACTAGCTTTTCAGGCCACATGTAAGTCTTGATCAGCTTTAGCTTGAGGATTTGGGGGTGGGGAGGGAGGATGGAGAGAAATAAGGTTAGGGTTAGTCTTCAAATGGAAGAAACAGGAATACAAATCCTTGTCTGTGCTGATCATGCTTCTCAAGAAAGGCTGAAATTTGGCCAGGCTCGGTGGCTCACGCCTGTAATCCCAGCACTTTGGGAGACCGAGGTGGGCAAATCACAAGGTCAGGAGTTCGAGACCAGCCTGGTCAACATGGCAAAACCCTGTCTCTACTAAAAACACAAAAATTAGCCGGGCGTGGTGGCAGGTGCCTGTAATCCCAGCTACTCAAGAGGCTGAGGCAGGAGAATTGCTTGAACCTACAAGGTGGAGATTGCAATGAGCTGAAAGGCTGAAATTCAGGCCCAATGGACATACTTACGGCCTTAACATCTCTCGGAATGAAAGAGTTTTCTTCCTTCCCAGTACTTTTATCAAATTCAAACTATTTTCCTCATTCCTTCCTTATACAACTCGAAATACAAAATTATTTCGAGTTGAAATAATTTTCCTTAGATCCAGGAAGCTCTGGCCTGGCCCTGTCTCTAGAAAGGAAAGTCCAAGTAGAGGGATGCCACACCCCGGGAGGGGAGAGAGGATGTGACGACACCTCCAGGAATGCAGGGCCCACGCAGGTGCACTGGCACCCATAAACTTCCTTTTTAAAAGGGCCTGATAAATCAGTACCGATAACACGAGTAAAATTCAACCACCCAACACCACTCATCACACAGAGCTGGGCGCTGCTCCCAGGGTGTGGTCCTGCCAATCAGGGAGAGGAGGGGGAGACCTAAGAATCCAGCTCACTAAAGGTGGTGACATGGTTTCTAGTCCAGCCATGATCAGAATGTGGTCCCTGGGAGTCCCTGAGACCCCTTTATGGGGGATCTTTGCAAAGCCAAAACTGTTTTCACAAAACTAAGATGTCATTTGTTCTCCTCATTCTCATTGTCTCGAGAGTATACAATGGAGTTTTCCAGAAGGGACAAGATGTGATGACATCATCAGTCTGATGACTGTTGGAATGCATGCTGGTGTATTCCCATGTTTTAGACACATCCGTTTTAATTCTAAGATAAACACTGAAAGATATAACACATAAAGTGCTTTGGGGTCCCCCACGATTTTTAATAGTGTAAAGGGGTCTTGAGAAAAAATGTTGGGAACTGCTGTGCTAGTCCAAACAGGGGAGTTACAGGCCCTGCAGCTGCTCTGATAGGCACTTTATTTCCGGCTGAGCTTGAGTCACCTCATATGTGCTTTCGTACAGGGGGTGGAGGCAGCTTGCTTATTTATTATTCAGCTTGAATTGGTGTCCTTTCCACCTGTGCTGCCACCTCAGAAGGCCAGAAAAACCTTAAATTCCCCCACAAACGTCTGGTGACCTGAATCCTCCAGGGGAAAAAAAAAATGAGCTTCTCACCTTTGAACCCAGGTGGGGCAAAGTGAGCCTGCTGAAAGGACACCCTCAGCTGAGCACTCAGCAAAGACACATCTGAGTACCCGCTGGAAGTCAGCTCTGTGCTACTCGATGACAGCAAAGCGCAAGTGCTCCCTGCCTTCGGGAGCTTTCATTCTAGGGTGGAGGCGGGTTACTCGCAAAACTCAGATGCGCACAAAAATGGGAAACCTGGAACTTGTCACCCGTGCTGGGAAACGGGTCCAAGTGTTAGGAGGCACCCGAGATGGGCAGGGAGGTGAGGGGAGGAAGGCACTCAAACCACTCTTCTTGCCAGATCTCAGGCTGGACCCTCCTCCTCCATCTCCATTCCCCCGCCCCTTTCCTGGCTTGCAGGTTTCAATAGCTCTTGGATTCCCAGAGCCCACAGGGAGCCCTTGGGATTTGGGAATCTCCTCCAGCCAGAATCTTCAGTCTTCTCCTCTCCTCCCCATGGCCAACAGGGTCTGTGTGAAGAGAGGCCGGTCTCTGGGACTGAGACATTCAGAGAGGAGGATTCAGCGTTTTGTTGCTCTGGGACACAGCTTGGTCACTCCGGGAAACGAACACAACCCAGAGGCTGTCATAGAAACAGCGAATGGCTAAGGAATGGTGGGAGGAGGGAAGAGGAAGACTTCAGAGGTTTAAAGAAAAAAAAAAAAGCACCGGAATAGAAATCCTCTGGGAGGCTGGGCCCGCAAGGAGCCTTCCCGCGCCTCAAGCTCACTTTCCTTCCCTCTCGACCTGACGAACTTAGGGCGTGCAGAGTCTCTTCGGACAAAATCAAGCCAAGAGAGCCCTAAGCTTCTCCCCCAGCAACTGCTACAGAGGCGAGAAAACTTAAATTTTGCAAACAAGAGTTGCAACGGGACACCTAAGCGACGCTAAAGGGCGGTGGAGGGGCGTCGTTGGGGGATGCCCCATCCCAAAGTGGAAGCGGGGAGGGAGACCGGCGGGAACCGAACAGCCCCGTAGCGCCTCGGCCACCGGCAGCGCTGGTCGTCCCATCCCCAGAGCCAGGCGTGTGACTGACGCGCGCCAAGCGGCGCGAGCCCCCGGCGGCGCCCGGCAACGAGGCGCGCGCATGCGCGTGCGCAAAAGGTCCACACAGCGGAGCCCTTCTTCAGGTGCGCTCGCGCTTCCGGCCGACCGCCCCGCGTGCTTTCCCTGGGCGGAAACTCCAGAACCCGCGCATGCGCCTTCTGACTCTCCGGCTTGATGAGGGGCGGAGGTCTACGGCTTCAGGTGATCCCGCCCCTCCCTCGAAGCGCAGGACCAATAGCGCGGCGGAAGGCGGGGTTTTTTGAGGAGGCGGCCCGCCCACGCATCGCGCGAGGCGAGTATCGATTGGTTGGCGCCGCGGGCGCAGGTGCGCGCTTCCGATTGGGTGTGGGCGGAGCGCGAGCGGTTGCGGCAGCTTCGGGGGCTGCAGGTGAGCGCGCGCACGCGCCGCGGCTGTGGCCCGGCTCGGGTGCGCGCGCGCGGGCTCGCTGGGGAGGCGGCTGAGGGAGAGGTTGCGGCGCCTGTGGCCTCCGCTCCGCCCCCTCCTCCTCCTCCTCCTCCTCCAGCGCTGTCGCCTCCGCAGCCGCTGGGGCCCGGAGGGAGGGAGCTGCGTCTCCGCCTGCCGCGCAGCCAGTCCGACCCTCGGTCTCGCCGTGTGAGCAGCCGGCCGAGTGCAGCTCAGCGCGGAGCCAGAGTTGCGGCCGCCTTCTCTGCAGGTGCCTGTGAGGAGGCTCCCGGGCCGCAGCCGCCTTCCGAGCCCGCCGGCCGCGCACTCGCTCCCTGCGCTCCAGAGGGGCCGCCCGGCCGGAGGAGGCCGCCGCGGGCCCGGCGTTCAGCATGAATCGCAGCCACCGGCACGCGGCGGGCAGCGGCTGCCTGGGCACCATGGAGGTGAAGAGCAAGGTGCGCGGGGCCCGGGCTGGGCGGAGCGGCGGGCCTGGGGGGCCGGGGCCTGGGAGAGGCTGGGCAGGTCTCGGAGCGCCGGGGGAGGCGACGGTCCGAGCTGCCCCGGGGTCTGGACGGTGCGGGCGGGGGACGGTGGGTAATAAACTTGCCGAGGAGGGGGCGGCGGGGGGCGGCGGGCGCTAGTGTCCCTCCGCCCGTGGCCCCGGCAGGAGGAAGAGCTAGTCCAGCGTTTAATCTCGTCCCGTAAATCTCATTCCCGTGTTCACGGCTGGGAGTAGGAGCCAGGGTATGCCCGAGGATGGCACACACTGAATGGAATGCGAGGCGGCTCAAAAGGTGCAGGGGAATCCTGCCTGCTGGGCTGTGAAAGGGCCCTGGACCACCTGGTTCCCCCTTTCTGTGGTTCCGGGGCGCATCGAGTGGCGAAGGAGAGAGCCCAGTGAACTAAATAGCCCTTGAAAAGTTCGCTTTGCTTCCTGCTAGCGCTCTTTCTAGAACTAACTTTGGTATGCATTTAATCTGTAAAGTTAGCGCTATCACCTTACGCTGGAGTAGCACTTTACAGTTTGAGTTTGGATGCTCTTCTCATTCCATCCTGCTACCTACTCACATCAAGTGTGTTTCCCCTTGACCAGCGGTATGCCAATCTGCTGATAATTACTTCGGTATTCACTGAATTCCTAAATCGCAAGGCTCGGTGAGCAGGGGAGTCTGTAGGGATTAGTTAGGGAATGCCTTCCAAAGGGGGTTTTGAGCTGGAATTTGGGGGATTTTGAGCTGGAATTTGAAGGTGATCGGCAGCTACGGGAACATTTTCAACAGTTTCTTGAGTTGAAGAGTTAAAAGGAGCTTAGATAGTCCAGTCCAATTCTCTGAGAAGACTGAAGTTCAGAAAGGTTATGACTTCCCAAGCGCTCTTTTTGCAAAGCCTTCATGCCTTTTTAACAGTAACTTTTAGGCACTGCAGAATACGAAACAGGGCACTGGCTGGGCCCTGAGAACATTTAAAATAGAATTGAAAAGGCCAAAACACAGAAAACGAAAAAATGGAAAGCGTATCAATTTCAAAAAAAAAAAAAGTAATGGAGCATCATAGATTGTAAGCCTACTAAGGAGTATGCAGAATCAAGGAGTGAGTTGAATGGAGTAAGGAAAGCTTTCTAGAGCCTCTGGGTAGAATGGTTTTATTGTCTAGGGTTGATAAGCAAAGTTCTGTAAGTTTCTGTAACTGAGAATCACATCGAGAAAATCTACATTTGTTTGTAACATCATTTAAAAATGTGATTTGGCACTGAAATGAGGATTGGCACTAGTTTCAGAATCAGTAAGAAGTGTAGTTATAGCAATTTAAGGAATGTGCGTGTCTGTGTGCCCTGTGCACAGCATAGCAAATTGAAGTGACTTGCTTGAGCTATGTAGTGTGAAGATGACCCAAAATATATAGCAGAGCTTTTCCTTTAGCGGTATAGTGGCAATAGTGGTTCCATGCTCAGTGGTTGAATCTTCTTATGGCATTTCTAAGTCTCGTTTGGATTTGTGGGCGTTGAGGTTACGGAAAGAAAAACACTTGTGATATTGCATAATCTTAAAAATAAGCGTATAGCCCTAATCTGGGTAGCAAATGTTTAATTTTTTTCCCATAAGAAAAAAATGAGTAGGAATTCTGTTTTATCAGTATGTATCAGTATTTATCAGCATGCTGATAAATACAGTCAAATAGTAGTTTATCTCCAGTACTGAGAAACCTTGAGTGCTTTAAAACTGGAATTTCAGGCTTTGTGCCTTTCTCTTGTCAACTGATTTTTGAATCTTTCACATACTTCTGTCTAAACTACATGTTGTGTATTTGAACTGCCATACTGCACTTTTAGTGAACCATGTCTCTTAAGTAGAATCATACACTGATTCTAGGAACATGCACTGAATGAAGTCGGTCCCAGTGTTCTAGCTGTTGACAAATAGGCAAGATATAGGTAGGGGAATGTTACTAATGTGTCTGTGACACCTTGTATGTTTCAAATATATATTACTGATAACATTTATTTTCAATGGATTGAAATATTTGTCATTTAATCATTTAAAAAATATTTGGAGAGGTTTTTGAAACACAATTTCCTTTGACATTGCTTTAGTGATACCACAGCTTCTTTACAACACTAATCCCTAAGAGTTTATGACAAAATAGATAGTGTGCAGGTCCTTTTTTAAATTTTTTTATTTTTGGTGTCAGGATCTCGCTCTGTCACTGGGGCTGGAGTACAATGGCATGATCATGGCTCACTGCAGCCACAACCTCTTGGGCTCAAGCGATTCTCCCACTTTAGCCTCCTGAGTAGCGGGACTATACACATGGCCACTACACCAGCTAATTTTTTATTTTTTTTATAGAGACGGGGGTCTTGCCAAGTTGCCCAGGCTGATCTTGAACTCCTGAGCTCAAGTGATGCCCCCATCTCTGCCTCCTAAAGTACTGGGACTACAGGCATGAGCCACTGCACCTACCCGGTCTATTTTTCTTTTACTTTTTTTATTTTTATTTTTAAAAATCTTTTTAGAAACACAGTTTTGCCATGTTGCTTATGCTGGTTTCTAACTCCTTAGCTCAGGTGATCTACCCATCTAGGCCTCCCAAAGTGCTGGGATTACAGGTGGTAGCCACCACACCGGGTTCTCATCCATTTTTAAGATCTCTTTTTCCTCATATAAAGCAGTAGTGTCAGCCGTGTGTGGTGGCTCATGCCTGTAATCCCAGCACTTTGAGAGGCCAAGGTGGGCGAATCACCTGAGGTCAGGAGTTCAAGACCAGCCCGGCCAACATGATGAAACCCTGTCTCTACTAAAAACACAAAAATTAGTGTGTGTGGTGCTGCATGCCTGTAATCCCAGCTACTCAGGAGGCTGAGGCAGGAGAATCGCCTTAGCCTGGGAGGTGGAGGTTGTGGTGAGCCAAGATTGTGTCACTGCACTCCAGCCTGGGTGACAGAGGGAAACTCTGTCTCAAAAAAATACAAAGTTTGAAAAATGAAATAAAGCAGTAGTGTCAACTTTCTTATCTTTACAAGTGGAAGGGAAAAATAATGATAATAAAATAATCGAGAACGTAAATATAACTATAGTTAAATTTATGATACCAGTGAGTATGTGACTTTTCTTTGGTAACTGATTTATCTTCCTAATTGTATCTCTAGTGTTAGAAAGATTCTTAATCAATAATCATGGTGATGTCCTTTAATAACCCTGGAACAGTCTTTGAGTCATAAAATTTCCTAATTATTATTCATAGGCAAATAGACTATGAAAATTAAGTTTGTATTTCTAGAATGTACCAACGGACACTGGGGGAAGGGAGTCCACACCTATTTTGGATGGCTAGGACAAACTAGATTAGGCTATAAAACAATTGTAAATGGTTCACAATAGTGACTAATTGCTGATTGAATCTTAATTTTATCTGTTAGGTTTTTTGTTCATATAGTAAAAAGTTCTCTATTATAACAGTTAAGCAAGAGAAAATGTTAAGCAAAGAAATTTCATCCAAAAGCTTTAACAAAAACATTGAAACCCTAAAATATTAAATGATCACATGTTACTCCCATTCCTACGTCAGGGGAAGTGATAAACCCTGTAGATGAATCAGAAAGTACTAGCAACGTCATGCTGTGATGCCAGAATAAAGAAAATGGAGGAGAAACTGTGACTTTTGATAACATCATAAGACTAACTGATATAAAGGGTGTTCCCTGAGTTTTTATTTACTTTGAAATGTGAAGGTGTGACTAAACTTTGAGAGCTTTAGATATGAGTCACCTTATTTTCTTGTCAGATGTTAGTGTTTATGTTTTAGGAATGTGTTTTGGGAACTGTTTAAATTTTTTGTTAGAGGTAAGAGGTGTTTTTAGTGAGTTTTGATTTTAATTTAAAACCAATGAGGAGTATAGGTGTAAGGAGGGCAGATGAACTTTAGATAGAGCAAAACCAGTATATCCAGATGTCCCATGGGGCCTTTCGGAAAATGAATTGACATATCTGCAAACTGCTCAAATTATTATGACAAGGGGCTTTCCCTACATGATACTTAAGGCTGTCCCAGTAGTATATTAGGATTTTTCTTTTCTTTTTTTCTTTGGGACATAATATTTTTACATTAGTATTTCTTGCTAGTAATAGATATTTGGAGGAAATACGAGTTCAGTAATTAAACACACTTGGCAAACACTTGTTTAAGTATTTTTAAAAATCACCATAGGACGTAAATGAGCCTTTAAAGTGCTGGTCTCTACAGTGATTCCCAAGAGCATAATTACAGTAATGTAGCATTTCTGAAACATGACTGGGACACTTTTTGGGGAAGGCTGATTAACTTTTCTTAGGTTTCCACATTTGAGGAAATGTCATGCTATTCCCACAGTAAGTTATAAATCCTGTTTATTATGGACTAGATGAAGCCAGTCCTCAGTGTTTTGGGGTTTTTTTGTTTTGTTTTGTTTTTTTTGAGACAGAGTCTTGCTCTGTCACCTAGGCTGGAGTGCAGTGGTGTGATCTCAGCTCACTGCAACCTCTGCCTCCCAGGTTCAAAAGATTCTCCTGCGTTAGCCTCCCAAGTAGTTGGGACTACAGGCATGTGCCACCACATCTGGCTGATTTTTGTATTTTTAGTAGAGACGGGGTTTTGCCATGTGGCCAGGCTGGTCTTGAACTCATGACCTCAAGTGATCCACCCACCACGGTCTCCCAAAGTGCCGGGATTACAGGTGTGAGCCATCGCACCCAGCCTCAGGTGTTGAATAAGAGTCACTTTTAATTATTTGACATTGGGAAAACAGAGGTGTAGGGAAACAGACTTGAGAATCACAACTGTGAAGGTAAGTATTGGGCACCATGAGGGCTGTCTTCCTCTCCATTCTTTCCCATTTGCGTGATCCCTTAATACCTCCCTGAAGCAATTACTCTCTTTACCCACTAATTGGTGAGCTTCTGGAGCAGGCTTGAGGCTTTCAATCTCTAGGGCCTAGCACTGTGCCAAACACACGAACACGTTGTGCATTAATTGGATAGTTATAGGACATACATTTGATGTATTACTAAAGCTTCTTTTTTCTGCGTTAACATAGGGAGGATCATACCTTAATGCCACGTAGCTCACAGTTGTTTTTGTGTATTTTGCTGTTGATTCCTACCATATCCCATGAAATCGTAGTTCCTTCTGTGAAGAAGGACACTTAAATGCTTTTCTTTGGTGGTCAAAATAAAGACTTGGACAAGTCTTTGGTACCCCATGATGTGAGTAAGGAGAGCATTGCTGTCAGAGTCTGGGCTCTAGACAGGGTTTGAGCTGAGTTACTATGCAGAACAGTCTGCAGTAAGGCCTTGGTAGCCCAGGGATTGAGTTGAGCCTGCGTCTCTTGAAGGGAATGCTCTTCAGAGACACAGCAATCAGGAGGCACATTCTTGTGCCTTTCTTAGTCTCTTTAAAATCCCTGATAGTAAAATCCCTGATAGGTTCCTGACAATAGACAATCTTTCCTTAACTCTGCTCCTTCATTTTTCTATGGCATGCATTTTCAAATTGGGTCTTTTTACTTTTTTTAAAAAAGTAATATGTTTGTTATGTTTATAGTTTGGAGCTGAATTTCGTCGGTTTTCACTGGAAAGATCAAAACCTGGAAAATTTGAGGAGTTTTATGGATTACTACAACATGTTCATAAGATTCCCAATGTTGACGTTTTGGTAGGCTATGCAGACATCCATGGAGACTTACTACCTATAAATAATGATGACAATTATCACAAAGCTGTTTCAACGGCCAATCCACTACTTAGGATTTTTATACAAAAGAAGGGTAAGTATCACTGTTTAGAAAAATTGTGTTAGAAATAGAAACAGTGTATTTTCCCCATTGATAGGATATCCAGACTTTGCCACAAACTTAGTGAATAAACATTTTGTGTGAATCTTCTTACTATGTTAACTAACATGTAGGTTAAAACATTTGTGATACTGTTGGTTTAATTAATATCCTTATGTTGATATGTGCCTGTAATCCCATTTACTCGGAAGGCTGAGGCAGGAGAATCGCTTCAACCCAGGAGGCAGAGGTTGCAGTGAGCCAAGATCCTACCATTGCACTTCAGCCTGGGCAACGAGAGCAAAACTCTGTCTTGAAAAATACATACATATCTTTATGCTTCACTAAGTGTACTTGAGAAAATTTATATTTCTAGTTACTTTTGTGTTAATCTCTCTGGTTTTATTTTTCCTTAAATAGAAATTGGGAATTTATTGAATATTGGGAATTTATTGAATCTTAACTTTATCAAATGGATTATTCTCCATTCAGAAAACTGTAAAAAGAGTATGTCTTTGGAGTCTAAAGCATTCATGTTTTTTGATGGCAACCAACTTTCAAGGGCTGTATTTACCAGTTAATAGACACCAAAAACAAAGCCATTTAATCTTCCTGAGTCTCAATGTCTGTACCTATAGAGTGAATATAATATATTGTAGGATTACTATGGGGATTAAATGAGCTAAGTGCAGTGCCCTGGCTTATAGTAGGCACCTAGTAAATGTTTTCTTTCTTTTCCTTTTAGGATACTTCTTAAAGAAAGTGTATGAAACTAGTTAATTATCTGGAAAATGAGGCGGGAAGTCATTGTTATGGAGGGATGTAAACACTGGTATTAATCTTCCAAAAAAAAATTTGAAATCACTGTTTGGCAACAATTTTCTTTCATTTTTTTTTTTTTTGTAAAGACTGGGTCTTACTATGTTGTCCAAACTGGTCACCAACTCCTGGTCTCCAGTGATCCTCTAGCCTCTCAAAGTGCTGGGATTATAGGCATGAGCCACCATGCTCAGCCAAGAACTTTCAAATGTATTTTGAGTCCTAAAACTTTTTTTTTTTTTTAACTTCATAGCCTGTGTGTATGTATATGTGTCTACAGATGGGCAGGGTAGGGCTCATTATGGCATGTACCATTTATTCCTTTCTCTATTGTAAATGAAGTGCTTTGGAAAGCCAGCATGAGAGCATTGAACCTGGTATTGGGATAAATTAAAGACTTACGGTGTTTGTAAGCCAACCCAGAAAGTAGCTTGAGAGCAGCCAGGTGTGGTGGATCACATGTGTAATCCCAGCATTTTGGGAGGCTGAAGTGGGCAGATCAGTCGAGGTCAGGAGTTTGTAACCATCCTGGCCAACATGGTAAAACCCCGTCTCTACTAAAAATACAAAAATTGGCAGGGTGTGGTGGCATGTGCCTGTAGTCCCAGCTACTCAGGAGGCTGAGGCAGGAGAATTGCTTGAACCTGGGAGGCAAAGGTTGCAGTGAGCTGAGATTGCACCACTGCACTATACAGCCTGGGCGACAGAGCGAGACTGCTTCTCAAAAAAATAAAAAAGAAAGAAAGTAGCTTGAGAGAATGGGTAGGGATTGCCTTTGAAGGTGAAACTATTTATAATCAGTTGATAAGCATCAGACCACTCCCAGCGCTCTGAAATTCCACTGATTATGTATCTTTGCTTTTCTGGGTTTGGAGGAACTAAAGTCCACCAACAAAATAAACCTCCAAGGATAACCTCTGTCTTTATCACTTGACTATTTTACAAAATAATTTGCAACACACAAATTAATGTTCCCAAAGTCTCCTGGGATGTATCTCATAAGTAACGAACAGTGATGTGACATAATGAGAGTATGACTTTAGAAAGATTCAGTTGGCTGTTCAGGATGAATTGGAGTGGGCAGCAGTCGTACAGCAGAGAGCCAGGAGCAGGCGGTGGAGAAGTGAGGAGACTGGCCTGGAAGTAGAGGGGAGAGGTGGTGGGAGAGGAGGAGGCAGTGACAGGAAGATAGGAGGGGAGATACTTGGGAGTCATTGTACCCAAAGTGGCAATGAAGGAATGAAGGAGAATCCAGCAGTGAAGGGAGAGTCCAGCAGAGCATACCTTGACGATTTGAGTCTGACAGCTGGGACAGTGTCATGAACAAGCAGAGTAGATTGAATTGGAAAAGAAAATTATGAATTTTGTCTTAGGACAAATAAGCTTACCAATTATGCAGGAGATTGGAAATGGTAGACAAGAGATCAGGGTAGAAATCTAAAAACTAGTTAGATTTGCAAGCCTTTTGAAAAGTGATAGTTAAAATTTTGGAAGTACACATAAAGACCAAGTGGGATGAAGATAGAACCTTAGAAAGCTAAATATAGAGTGCTAGAAAAGGAGGAAGAATTTAAATAATTATGGTTGAATAATAGGCCTTTCTTGTTAGCAATTGTAATTTTCATTAAAAAATTAGTTGCTTTAGCCGGGCATGATGGCGTATGCCTGATCCCAGCTACTCAGGAGGCTGAGACAGGAGAATCGCTTGAACCCAGGAGGTAGAGGTTACAGTGAGCCAAGATCGTTCCACTGCACTCCAGCTTGGGCAACAAAGAGCAAACCTCCATCTAAAAAAGAAAAAAAAAAAAAAAAGCTGCTGTTTGGAATGTGCATTCAAATGTAGAATGGGTTTTTAAAGTATTGCCATCTGACAGAATTTTGTTGGATTATCCCATTTGTTAGAAAGATTATGAGAGTTGGGTTATACTACCACATGTTTTGTTAATGGAATTATGTACTTGGATGATTATGGAATTAATCCTAACATCTTTTAAGGATGGTTATTTTTTATTTCCTTTTTAAGTTTTTATTTATTGGTGGTATAATTATTATTGAGACCTTTGATGGTTTTTATTCTTGTCGTAGGAATTACAACTTAGAGATATGTTTCCAAGTGAACAGATGTTTTCTATGTATTAATAGTAAAGGTGAAATGTCCAATATAATTGATAACCCTTAGAATTTGGTATAGAAATAGGCAATTCTCAGCCTCCTGAATAGTTGGAGCTACAGGCTGAAGCCACCATGCCTGGCTAATTTTAAATATATATATATGTTCTTTCTTTCTTTTTCTTTTTTCGAGATGGAGTCACGCTCTATCACCCAGGCTGAAGTGCACTGGCAAGATCTTGGCTCATTGCACCCGCCATCTCCCATGTTCAAGCAATTCTCCTGCCCCAGCCTCCCAAGTAGTTGGGATTACAGGCGCCCACCACCACACCTGGCCAATTTTTGTATTTTTAATAGAGATGGGGTTTCACCATGTTGGCCAGGCTGGCCTCAGATGATCCACCCACCTTGGCCTCCCTAAGTGCTGGGATTACAGGCATGAGCCACTGCACCCTGCAGTGAGCTTGTTTCTGTTTCTGTGCTCTCATGCTTGGTTATTCTTCTCATAAAGACACTTCACCCAGAGCTCTTCCCATGTCTGCCTCCTCCTGTTTAGCTCAGATAACGGTGTCAGAGGAGTCTCTTCTGACCATTCTAACTAAAGCCCTCCACCCTCCTACCTTTACCACGTCACCCTATGAAGACCTGGAAGTATCTTATTTAAGTATATGTTAACTTTTTATTTGTCTGTCTTGTCCCAGCGTCTAAATCTGACAGACTTACATAGTGTACTATGATGCGTGCACTCTTTATTTTAAGCAAATTTGAACAGGTGCTTAACTAGAAATCTGATTTTATGTAAACCCTAATGAACATTTAATTCAAGAAACTAATATAAAGTATGATATAGTTATAGTTACATTTTACTGCTTGATTACAGCACATTTTCTGTTATCTTTGCTTTTTGATTTCTGTTAGGCATCAATAGGACAGAATTTCACTTGGTATGTACCAAGTGATTTTTTTTCTTCTTTTGACAGAGTCTCACTCTTGCCCAGACTGGAGTGCAGGGGCATGACCTTGGGTCACTGCAACCTCTGCCTCCCAGGTTCGGACCATTCTTTTTTTTTTTTTTTTTTTTTTGAGACGGAGTTTCATTCATGTCACCCAAGCTGGAGTGCAATGGCGCGATCTCGGCTCACCGCAACCTCCGCCTCCTGGGTTCAGGCAATTCTCCTGCCTCAGCCTCCTGAGTAGCTGGGACTACAGGCACACGCCACCATGCCCAGCTAATGTTTTGTATTTTTAGTAGAGACGGGGTTTCACCATATTGACCAGGATGGTCTCAATCTCTTGGCCTCGTGATCCACCCGCCTCGGCCTCCCAAAGTGCTGGGATTACAGGCTTGAGCCACCGCGCCCGGCCCGGACCATTCTTATATGTCAGTTTGAGTAGCTGAGACTACAGGTGTGTGCCACCATGCTCAGGTAATTTTTTTTTTTTTTTGGAGACAGAGTTTTGCCACCCAGGCTGGAGTACAATGGTGTGATTGCCACTCACCACAACCTCCACCTCCTGGGTTCAAGCAATTCTCCTGCCTCAGACTCCTAAGTAGCTGGGACTACAGGTGTGCGCCACCATGCCTGGCTAATTTTTGTATTTTTAGTAGAGACAGGGTTTCACCATGTTGGCCAGGCTGGTCTCTCTCAAACTCCTGACCTCAGGTAATCCAGCCACCTCAGCCTCCCCAAGTGCTGGTATTGCAGGTGGGAGCCACCACGCCCAGCACCAAGTGCTTTATTTTATTTTATTTTTATTTTTTTGAGGCAGAGTTTCACTCTTGTTGCCCAGGCTGTAGTACAATGGTGCAATCTCAGTTCGCCACAACCTCCACCTCCTGGGTTCAGCAATTCTCCTGCCTCAGACTCCCAACTAGCTGGGACTACAGGTATGCGCCACCATGCCTGGCTAATTTTTGTATTTTTAGTAGAGATGGGGTTTCACCATGTTGGCCAGGCTACCGAACTCCTGACCTCAGGTGATCCACCCACCTCCCAAAGTGCTGGAATTACTGGCGTGAGCCACCACACCCAGCCCCCAATTGATTTTTGAAAATCAAATTGTAA